CAAAGTATGATGTGTGAACCTACAACACCGTGACCTCTTTCTCTCTTCCTTGATTGTGTGAATAACCCTGGGATCACCTCTTAGAACTGGTTTTAACCTTTAGCGGTAGTGGCTGTGCTGCCACAAGTGTATATATATGATGTTGTACATTGCACATGCCCTTGAATCCCTATAGTTTGGTCCTCCTCCCAGCTACCCCTTTATAGTATGATGAGTTAACAAGTTGGTGACCTGCTAAAAGCAAGACACAGCTATTTAATCTCTTAGCAGACGTCACCCCTTTTGGCTTGATGCTGTACAGGTCTCTCTAAAGTCCTTGCTGTTGTCTCAGCAGCCAGTCAACTTACAGTTTATTTTTTTCTGGGTTTTTGTTTTGTTTTCTTTCTAATCGAGGTGTGAAAAAGTTCTAGGTTCAATTGAAGTTTTTTTTTTTTTTTTGAGACGGAGTTTCGCTCTTGTTACCCAGGCTGGAGTGCAATGGCGCGATCTCGGCTCACCGCAACCTCCGCCTCCTGGGTTCAGGCAATTCTCCTGCCTCAACCTCCTGAGTAGATGGGATTACAGGCAAGCACCACCATGCCCAGCTAATTTTTTGTATTTTTTAGTAGAGACGGGGTTTCACCATGTTGACCAGGATGGTCTCGATCTCTTGACCTCGTGATCCACCCGCCTCGGCCTCCCAAAGTGCTGGGATTACAGGCTTGAGCCACCGCGCCCGGCTCAATTGAAGTTCTGATGAGGAAACACAATTGAGATTTTTTTCAGTGATAAAATCTGCATATTTTTATTTCAACAATGTAGCTAAAACTTGATGTAAATTTCTCCTTTTTTTCCTTTTTTGGCTTAATGAATATCATTTATTCAGTATGAAATTTTTATACTGTATGTTCCACGTGTTAAGAATAAATGTACATTAAATCTTAAAAAATTTTTTTTAATTTAAAAATTTTAATGCTTAGTTGGTAAGTTTACACTATTAAATTTAGTGTAAACTTACCAACTCTGATTTTTACTACCCTTCCAAAAGTGGATGGCCCTTACCATATTTTAATTTAGTTAAATATCACCAACTTTTCAGGCTACAACTTCTTACTGACACAAATCCTGTTTTCCCTTACACCTGGATTGCCTTCCCATTATTTGCCTTTCAGAAGCTTTTCCTATTTAAAAACCCATCTCAATCTCCAACCCTTCCTTGTTATGTTTCCCCACTTAAATCATTGTGACTTTTTCTCCTATCTTTAAATTCCCCTGTCTACTCTGTACTTTTTAACTTTAAAGTTATTTGTATTCATTCATCTTCTGATTTGTAAGCTTTCTGAAGTTTAGATTAAAAAGAAATGTCATAATACATGTTATTTTTCTTTCATTTTTTGTTTCCTTTTCATTAATGATACCTTTTCCTCCAGTTTCTGTCTTTTAGATTTAACAAACATGAATTGATCAACTTTGATTTGCTCAGGCAGTGTGCCAGATGCCTTTTAAGATATATTCTAAATATATCCTCATATTTAGTTGTATTTAATCCTTAGATTAACCTACAACAAAGGTATTTTGCAAGTTGTTTGTACAGAAGATCCTTGATATCCAAGTGGTCATTAATCCATGTAATGCATGGAGAAGCAAAAATTCCCGAACAAGAACATTGACTAGTAAACCAATCATTTATAAAATTAGGCTGTACTCATCAACTCTTCCTAAATAACTGTAGCTGTTATTTGCCCATTCACTACATCATTATCCTTCTCTGTCACTCTCTTGGTAATGCAGTGCAAATACAGCACAAACCAAAATGAAATTGGATACTTTGCAAAAGATGGGAAACTTCATGAAGTCTGTTAAACTGCAAGAGAATGACATTAGTCATCTACAGAATTGACAGATGAGTATCCAGCAGAATTAACCACTGAAGAAAAAAGTGATGACTCATAGGCAGGCACTTCAAAAAAAGAGTAATTTGAGTAACAAAGAATTAAGGCCCTTTAGAAAATTATTTCAATAAGCCTTTAAAACAAAATGACCCATTTTGTGAACCATGTGAATTTCAAAGTCAAAGGATGTTGCACCATTGTATAGTCAGAAAAGATAGGCCAAAAAGTAAAGCATATTAAACAAGTCATTAACTATTTTTTTAAAAGAACTAATTTTTACAGGTTTTTGTTTCACATTTCAGGTTGAATTGCAATCAACCTTTTATTTTTTTTTTACCATTATTTACTCTAAAATATTTTGACCTGTTTTAAATCAATTTCAGTACCAATTATCCTTGGGTACTAAGGGCCTCTTTTATCCACCTTCCACAGCCAAGGTAGCATCAGATTGCCTTGTGTATGAACTCAGTATAAGCTTTCTTAGTGTAAAGTTAGGTTCCCAATTAACAATATATATTCCGGCCGGGCGCGGTGGCTCACACCTGTAATCCCAGCGCTTTGGGAGGCCGAGGTGGGTGGATCACGAGGTCAAGAGATCGAGACCATCCTGGTCAACATGGTGAAACCCCGTCTCTACTAAAAATACAAAAATTCAGCTGGGCATGGTGGCACGTGCCTGTAATCCCAGCTACTCAGGAGGCTGAGGCAGGAGAATTGCCTGAACCCAGGAGGCGGAGGCTGCGGTGAGCCGAGATCATGCCACTGCA